GCGCATATCCACATGGACTTTTTTTAACGTAACGGAATGTTTATTCGCTGTGTTAAGCCTAATAAGACCAGCTGATTCCATTGCCTGTGCTGTACAAATCATGACGAAATCAGCAAAATCTGACAAAAATAAAGACAAAATCAGACAAATTAGGCCAAATATGCCAAACAAACGTACAGGAAAAGCCCCATACACTGTGTGTGTATAGCTTTATCCGGCCAGGCAAGCTTCACTGTATGTGTATGCGCGGCATTTTGCTGAACTGTATGCATGGAGCTGGAGACTGGGAACCATACAACAATTTTCGCGTGCGTGCTATCGATCTCTGTGAAGGCAGTAGTCTGGTTCGTATGCTTGGCGTGGTCACGGTCAATCTACGTTGTATGGGAACTGTTCACACTTGACTTTTTTCCGTGGCTGCACGGAAATCTTCCGCGAAACTTTTCGGCCTGTTAGTTTTACATCGCAATCGCAGTAAGTTGACAGGGACGTTAGTGCTACGTGTTCCCATTGGATTTAATTTGTAAAAGAAAAGTTTAGTAAAGTCGCGGTAAGTTAACCCCTCAAAAAGTCCAATGGGAAGGCTAGCAGCACCTCGTCCAGCTTTGGGTGACGACTTTGGCATGCCTTTCGATGCCTACAGCTACCAGAGAACAGCCTGAATCGGACTTTCTTGATACGACACAATTTCTAAAGATCACTGGGCGAGGACTATTTTGCCGCCAGGTCATTAAAATTGGATTTTCAAGAACGTGTATATCATGTTATTAGTTGTCTGTTTAATTTAAATATTTAGATCATTGTCATCATTTCCATGAGTCTATTTAATGACTTGTCTTCCCGCATTTATATTTTGATTTTATTTACGGCTGTTCACCCAAGAGCGTATAGCCGTTGATTATACCGACACCTTTAAACTTATGTTTCAATCGTCGAACGACATTTCACTCAGTCATGCAAAACCCTGGACCACAAACGTTTATGGTATATACTATAGTTGTTGCAAAGTTTCTAAGGCTTTTCAGGATTATGCGGAGAGATTTATGCCGAAGCCCTCTGGCCAGACTTTATCGGATAAAGGAAGAGCACTGTGGCTCCTTAATCATCGAAGGGTCATTTTTCGCGCAGACTTAATTCGATACGGCACCCGTTTCAATCAATTAACGAAAGTGTCCTCCAACTCTCTCCAGACTAACCATGCAATCCCCAATCACATACTTCCATTTCTGATTGTGAAATTACACACCATAACCTTTGCTAAACCAGTATAAAGGCTCCTCACATTTTCTCTCTTAATCATGGCCTTGTCAGTGGACCAATCAGATCAAGAGATTGTCCGAAGCAATCATCTCACTTTCGTGTTTCTATCCCCGGTCTTTCTTTTGTATTCGCTTGGAACTAGGTGTCTTTGTACCAGGATCCTGCTGTGGTGTGCTTTACAAGTTTACGGAAATTGCGAAAATGTCACTATTATTCAACTGAAAAGGCCATATATAAGCCGACGAGTGGCAAAGTGATTTATGTGGTCGGTTTGCGCAGGTTCTTATTTGGTCGTCCTTATATATTCCAGCACTATCTCTTCGTGAACTTCACGCCGCCTCGAAATCAATCTCTGGTGGCTTTTACACAGACCGCTGACTGACAAGTTATAAACTCCGCGCGTGCGATACACGACGACCCCTGCGCACATATCGAGTTCCTGGCAGCATCCTGTAAATTTGGCGGAATAAAAAATGGATCCAGAGTCTCATAGCCAGACTCGGTTACCATGGACACACATCTTCGCACTTCTGTGTCTAATTTACTCCTGTTGATGGCGAGATTACTGCACACAACTTTGGAGCGAAGGAAAAGGGGGGAGGAAGTCTGTTTTGTATCTTCGCTGTTCGGTCTCGGTTACTTGGCGGAGCGTTTCATGTCCTCGTTAGATAGCGCCGAATTCTGTCATCGGAGAAGCTGCGGGTGTCTGTCGGACTTTGCCCCTTAGCAACGGAAAATCTCGCCAAATAGTCGGGACCATTTTGCCGATTAATTTCAGATCTGACTGCAAGTTACCTCGACGAAAAAGAACAGCCCCCTTTTTTCCCGCGGAAAAGGTGAACGGGGGGTGTAAGGATTTTTCGTTGCTCAACCAGGATCATATTTTTAGCAGTCTACACTGACGTCAACTTTCCCCTGCTCTTGCCTATACAGGACTGGCTATTTTCCTTATCGCTTTCGTGATACTCCAAACCCTGTAACCACTTCAATCGTATTTGACGTTCCAGCTTTCAGGGAACTAAGGCATAAATTGGTTTTCGTAACTGATAAAGTTTGAGCAAAGCCAATTCGAGTGATCAGGTTGAAGAACTAGCACAAGTGTCATTAAGAGAGATTGTTTACTGAGATAAAGGACCCGCCAATATTAGAAAATGTTAACAAACCCGCACCGCATGCAGGCGCAATAAACTAGGCCTATTCCGTTTAGCCGTGGCGGCGCGGTATGTCTCTCGCCATTTTTTTTTCCTGCTCTGCTTAATCCAAACAAACACTCCTTTCTCGAGTTATTATAAAGCCCGTTGAAATCTTATCTCACATGGATCGATCCGTCTGCAACGAATTTTCTGTTCTTAAGACGGGCCATGTTCCCGTTTTGGCGCGGTAACGATATTCCCGGGACAACAGACCCGCCAGACGCGCTGTCTTCTCGCCTCTGTTCGCAAACCTAACCGTGAACAGGTCTGAAAGGGAACTTTCCCCCTCGACGATGAGGTAAGATCTGTCGAAGCCAAATCGACACCAAACGTCTCTTAAGAAGGGGGAAAGGGAACGAGAAAACACCAGTAAGACATAATTTAAAAGGTAAATCCGGGTTAGTTAATACTGCACAAAACGCTGACGTATACACGATTTTCAAGGGATAACATTGTTTTTAAAAGACGTACGCGTTTCAACGTGTGCAGCTTTCAGATGGGCGTAGCTGTAGTGTCTTTCAGTCGGGGAGACATTCAGGACCATTCATAAAGAGGTTGCATTTAAACAAGAGAAGAGGCGACGTTTGTACGGTACGACATTTTGACATCTAATTAGGAAATGATGCCCACGGCTGATGCAGCTCATCGTAGATGTATCAGCCTCGAGCAGAAGCACCCCATCATTGCTTGAAAAGAGCCGCGTTGGTCGGGAGTATTCATATTGTTGGTAGCGAGGAATTCCTCCAGTCTTGGTCAAGTGTACATTGGGTGATACCGGACCCTTGATTGGTAGAGTAGTCAGAATCATCGGGTCTGGTATCCAGACTGTGCTCATGGCCCCAATGGGAAACTTGTCTTGCATCTCTACTGGATGTTTTCTCCCATACCCTAAACAGGATTTAAAAGCACGCGGCAGTTGCCCATGGTCTTAATGTGATCAGGACCTTCTTCTGACGGGATAAGGCGCTCTGACTTCAGCCGTCAAGGTCCATACTCGGTTTTGCCGAATAAATTACAGTCTTGATTCAAGTCGCATTAGATTTCGAACACACCATTCACTGACTGGTCCGGCACAGGTACTATTTCCACCAGAACAAGCAGGTACTGCGTGGAAAGCAACCAGAGAAAGGTTTGAGTCTACGACAATACGCTAATATTTTGGCCACTCCCTCAGGGCTATGCAAAAAAAAAAAAAAAACACACACACACACACTTTACGCTGGCGGGTCGATCGGTGGTTGGATCCGGCGTCATGTATGCACCCCCCCCCTTTACCACTGAGTCTACACAATTCATTAAGGAGAAAGCGCAGAATGCTACCGGCACTGCAAGGCAAGAACGTGACAGTTCATAATATCGGGGGTTAAACAAGCAGCATGCGATTATCCCTGAAACATAGAGGAGCCCGGCATCAAAGCGCTGGCAATAGACGGCGTGTGCAGGAATGTCTTGGTGGATGGGTCTCGGTATTTTTGTGCAATCATGAAAACAAAATACAACGGGAAACATTACACGCCAACCGTTTTCCGGGCTGCTATCGATTAATGACGAGAACGTGCATGCAAGTTGGCAACACGAGCGTCGACAGCCCATTTTCAAATGGGGGGGGGTTCCATTATAAAATTTGCTGACGGACCGTCGACAAATTTCATGAGTGTAATGGTGGTTTGATTCCCGGACCTGACACATTCGTGACCTCCCTTTCCTTCTCCAATTCTTGCCACAAGCAACATGACATTTGCCAACATAAGGGTGTGACAGCCCCTCCACCTACGATCTTGAATAGCTAGGCCCTTTTTTCACCCAAAGGGTAAGTTATCTCGAAGTGAGGAAATCTGAAGTCACGTGCATCCCTTTTCGCTTCGCGCGGTTCCTTCGGCAACGCAAACCAGACTCATTGTAAACAGCGGACGAGCGAAAGTATTCCTATTAAAGGCAAATTATTTGCAAACCACACCAGTCCAAGACACTAGCGTTGGAACGTCACTAATGTTTAGACACCAACAAAGCTATATTTAGTCAAAAGGGGCATCGAGGGATTTCGAATTCGATGTGAGATAAGACCTGAAGCTTTGCATGTTGGAAATACATGTAGACTAAAGAGAGGGTTCGCAGTAACACCATGTGGATAAATCTCTTCTGGAAGAGCTTTGGTTCTGATGAGAACCGGTGAGTGTGCACTCGACGTTTCGACCAGTGTGCTCTGGTCGTCCTCCCCTCCTCCACTACTGAGGACCGCCAGAGCGCACTAGTCGAAACGTCGAGCACACACTCAACGGTTCTCATCAGGGCCATACCTCTTCCAGAAGAGATCTATCTATATGGTGTTATGCCAAACCCTCTCTTTAGAATTTGATGTTCTTTCTTTATGTAATCGATTTGATTCAAAAATCCAATCTACCTTACCAATAAACAAAGAGGATTAAGACATTCGACAGGCGAAGGTCCCTCGCCGGCATCTCATTGCTATCATGGTCCAGTCGACGTGACGTGTAAATGGCCACGTCGCTGGCCATGGGAGGACTGACAATAGGGAAGCACACTCACCATTTCCAGAATTTGAATAACGGAGAGCGCCAGGCTGACTTTGACGATGGAGGACGAATTCCAGACAGGCCGAACCTTCTTGTTGTAGTTCCGCATGAGGTCCTCGTACAGCTTCTGCTCGTTGCCACCGTAGAGAGCTGCAATTTGAAAAAAATTGAAAGTGCAGTGCAGGAATTTCTTATTGTTTTAAATAATGCACAAGAAATCTATTACTATAAGCAGACATTTTGAGACGGAGTCACAAAAAAAAAAAAAACTAAAACAAATCTGGACACTCCTCAAATATTACTCCTGTCAGAAAATACCGGTGCGCAGCTGTTCTGATGTCCTCGGACGTATATAGGTACAGTTGATTTGGATAATGCACACACGGACAAGCAGCTACTTTAACCAGTGTGAAGGGCGCACATGAGGCTAATCCTCCAATCAGAATAGAGGGGAAGCAGAGTTTAAGGTGCATTTCAACCAATCAAATTTCAGACGCTTCAAAGACGTCGCCTGTTCTCGTGTGCGTACATGTAGCAATTCAAGTCTCAAGTCCAATGTGAAAAATTAAACAGTTACATGGAGGTTAACACGGGAGTTAAACTGACTGATACCAATGATATTAACAGATGGTTTCGGATGCCATCCGATAAGCCTACTGAATGTTACAGACAGTTGAAGGATGCATTGTGCAGCCTCTCCACGGTTGGAGAGATGGACAGGGTGTGCTTGTAAACAAACGACTTCTCGCATGGATTCGCGTCAAAGACCATCAACCCTCGGGTTGGGAGAGACTCAATAAACACTTTAAGCGTTTAGAGGCGAATATTTTATTGGTTTAGAGGAGTTAAAGTGTTATGGTTTTTTAAAATTCGAGGGAGGGCCTTTCAAAAAAAAAGCAAACAATCTGAGACTACCTTTGTTTCCAGTCTCCGCACCACAACGAAAGACCACAACGCAAAGTATAAGTAGCAAATCTCGGGTTGGCATTTCGCGGTCCTTGTTCTTGCAAGACTGGATATCCAAGATTGTTTTCGCTCGAAGTTGGCACCAAGCACCAAAAACGGATGTGTGTGTGTGAGGGGGGGAATCGTTTCCGAGAGACTAATTACACGTGTAGGTTGTGAGCTGGACGCTTCAGTAAAACTTTCTCAGCGGTAAATGTTGCAGCCAGTCATATATCCGCGGAATTGAATTTGTAGGTACTTGAGGGATCCAACCTGATTCCTGATGTGCTAAATACAATCCATTAAGCCATTACATCGAGTAAACTCAATAGTTCCAGGAACAGTAGGGCCCATAACATTCACTCACTGACCGTAAACTTCCTCGACATGGAACTTTGTCCCATTCCGGGTTGTTTATATTATACAACGGCTGAAGAAATCAAACATAACCGGTATCTAATTTCTCAACTTCAGATGCAACGCGGCACTTGTTGACTGTAATTCTAGAAGTTTTTTGTTTTGGTTTCAGATTTGGTACTCCATCAAACACTTGGCAGCAGATATAATTTTTCAAGTCATCCTCTGGGACTTTTTGGCCGGCGTGCAGTATTATCGTTTGTCATCATCAGCCCCGTGCTCCGCCATGACTTGCTTGCCACGGCCGATGCACCCAGCAGTGCTGGCCCTAAAAACACAAAAGAGGTCACGGTGCCCAGCTGGCTCTGCGTCGTCCATGGAAGGCAAAAACATTTTTCAATGAGAGTTATCTTAACGTTTCAGAAGACATGCAACTTGACGAGGGTTGGCCAAATTTATCAGACAGTTGTGTGCAGTAATTCACCTTGACAAAAAAAACCGCATTGGCAACAACTAAACATCTCGAGTGGGGCAATTCCAGCCGTACACTGCCCCGCCTGTTTTACTGCAAACAACTGGGACAGAACTGCAGAGAACCCTGTACTATGTTTTATTCAATAACACTTCGGCAAATGGAACGTAACTGTCTCATCTCGAAAGATACCGAACGCCATCCCCAAACGTCATCTGCACGTACGACTAGCACTGTATATCGGAGCAGATGGCCATTTAGGGTGGGCATTAAAGCGGAAAACATGGCAATAAAAACCATCCTCATGAGATGCTGTTAAAGTTATATATACCGCATATTGAGAAAATGGGTTCATGGACAACCGTTTGGTCATATTCTGTGGAGAACGTCATTGGCGGCCGAGTGGAAGTTTGCCAGTTAGATCCGCGGCTGGAGTCGCAAGTGTTCAAGCCAACTTGAAGGCTTCTTAGCTGTCTGAAGGTTGCAAAAGACCTGATAATCCTGTCCAGGGTTTTGAAGTTCCTTATTCGGAACTGTCAGGTGTATAGCACAAGGGTGTTTGGGCAAGGAAAAGCCCTGGATTTTTTTAACAGTATAATTCTCAGTACGAAGAAAGTCTAGTGAAGTCTGTATCCGCAAATAAGCCGACGCAGCTAACACACAGTCCAAGCCCAGCTAAAGCCGGCGGTAAGAGCTTCTGCTGGACAAAAAATGGCATCTGCGACTCTAGGCTTTGTGGATATCGGCCATGTGAGGACAGGCTTGGCATGAGGCGGCTGTGACGAGCTTCCGTCATGTTCAGTTCGCGAACCGACCGTTGAATGCGACGCGTCCAGTCTCTCTCCCAGTCATATATTATACGATTCTGGACCAACTATCCGGATCCTGCCAGTGTTTGTCAGTGTTACTGGCTGATACGTTTCCAATGACGACATAAAACAACGCACATGTAGTTTAAAGTGTATGGAAGTCCTTACATAGTCCCCCACTTTAGTGGTACTCTCTATCAAAATTGTATGGCGCTCAGAACAGACGGAAAACTGTCTAGTAGAGCTGTTTATCCAATCCGTTGAATTTAACTCTTTTGAAGAAGGAAAAATTTGTCGCAAATTGCAAGAATTTAAACACTGCATCCTCTTCGGCCATTTCGGCAGCGACGCAATGCCGCTGAGGCTCACAGTGATTCTATCAAGTAACGCCAATCAGGTGCACCACACATCTGGTGGCAGTGTCCTGTGATGTCATTAGGTTTGCACAGTAGAAGCATCAAAGGCAACCGAGTGATCCTGGAGTAGGAAGCTGCGAGCTACCACCACGATCTCTGCAAGTCTTACACTGAGCAATGCGTGCCTGAAACGAGAGCATTCCTGCTGCTGTTATACACTGCCGCGGATATTCCTCCAAGAAAAAGGGGGGAAAAGAGTTTGGCAACTAATTGCGTCCTCGCAAAACAACACAAGCGGTAATTGGCCATTACGCTGTTTACCATCTGAGACCGCTGTGCGTACGACTGGACATCGGGGAAAATTCAATCGAAAGAGATAATCAAGTTTGAGTTCACCTTATTAGCGACGCCAATCCATTAGCCAAACTTTTAGTGGGTGAAATCCGGGGGCAAACTTTGATAACGATACGATAATGGAGTGCACCCGAAATGGAATTTGGGCCATTATCGCTGGAACTGATGGGTCTTTTGTCAAAATGGTTAATTTGAAGCAAAAACATTCCGTTGCTTACAGACCTGACTTGTTTCAAGTAAATACAAGATGACTCGAAGGACGGTCATCAGCACAAATGTTTATCAATGCTGTGGTGAATAAGGAGCTTAATGACCACTGCATTTCGAGAGAAAAAACAGTGGCTGACGCTGGGCGCTGCGACCTTCACAAATTCATTATTAATAATGCTATTAACTAGTTTGAAGTGCATTGTGGGAAAGGCTGTTTACAAACCATGGCTTTGTACGGGTGTCTATGGTTAAATCCTCCTTCCCACACCGAGACAGTCCTTGTATCCATGGGCGGAAATCTCTCCTCGATCGTGGGGGGGGCATCAATTTACAATTTTTGTGCACACCGTATTTCAATTATTATCTGATTCCATTTATAAAACTCAAAAGGGGAACTCCTCGATCCATCAAGTCCTTTAGTATTTTGCTTAAAACATGGAGGGGACATTCGACATTGTGTCCCCCGTACCAAATATATGGGGGAGGGGGGACGTGTCCCCCCTGTCTCCCCCGGGATTTCCGCCCATGTGAAGGATCAATCGCATGTGACGGGAATTGCACAAGAGACCAGACCTCCGGGTCGGTCAGCTACAGTGAAAAAGGCTGTGGTCAGACCAAACCGAGCCAAAGATGCCCCCAATGCCATACAGAACAACCTGGGAAGACAACCAGTCCCCAACGACGCGTGAAAATCCGTGGTTGACCGCCTCTTTTGTGACCGCAATACATTCTCTGCAGAACAGTATGCGCGCAATCGGACGGCAGTTTCCCAATGGGTTAAATTCGTACATCTTCATTCAATCCGAGTAGCACAAAACAAATACCTACATATACATCCATACATTATAAATGTTTATACATAAATACAGCTATTTTCCATTTCTCTTACTAATGTGACAAGGATCAGCTGTACATACACGATGTGTATGATACTTACTGATTATAAGATTCATGGACGTTTGTAATGTTCCGATATGTTAATGGCATGACTGAATAGGTGACAGTGTCAAATGCACACCACTCTAAGTGTCGGAAAGATCTTATCCATCCTTGTGTGCCTCGTGGTCGTAGCACCCTACATGACATGTAGTCTTTTAAATGGCGACCACTTGCAGCTGCGCGTACAGACCTTCGATGTGTACACGTACGTGTACATGTACATGTACACTGTATAGTGTTCCTGCACACGTCCACGCGCTTGCACTCCAGAACTCGATATTATAGTAATTTACTTGTTTTTACACATCAGCTTATTTGCATGTTTGGCTATCAGGTAATCACATCCTTGCGGATTCATACAACTCTCTATGCATAATTTGATAACATATTAACACAGTACCTCTACATTCTACAATACGTTGTCATCGACAAGGATGGACACCCGCGTAGCACGTATACAATACGTGTACATGCAATATTACCTAGGTAGCTCGATACCCCCAATAATTATAGTTAATTTCATTGTCTTCAAATTAAAGTGTTATTCAACATCTCGAAATCTTCGAAAGTAAATGACCGATGTAAAAATACCATTGCACAAACAAAATAAATATTTAGGTTAGACGTGTTCAAAAGAAGTCATTAATTTCGGTGGGAGGTAACTTCTCCGTATCGATAATCCCAACCCACGATTAACGAGATCTACTT